CAGGATGCCCCACCTGCAGAACCTGGCCCCACGTGGCTCCGGAGCTGAGCCAGCAGGAAGGCCAGCCACACAGGCCCCGGGCGTCCTGCCTCCAAGGCTGCCAGGGACACGCCCACCCCTCTCGGCCGCCCCTTGGTTTGGGGGGGGGGGGGCGCGCGGTGGGAAGGGCAAGAGAGTCCAGCTGCCCAAACATCCCTCAGGTCCTCCAGAGCTGCAGAGCAGCCCCGGCCCAGCCCGACCTGGCCTGGGCGGCCCAGGGCCCGGACCCAGCACAGAATCCAGGAAGTGGCCTCAATGTCAAAGTCCCCAGACACGGCCCCACACAAGGACATGGGCCGCCTGAGGGCCGCCGGGCACACCTGCTCAGCCCAGGGCTCGGCCCCCCTCCCCAGCACGGCCGAGCCGGGGACTCGGGTTACTGGTGGCTGAGCCGGGTCAGGCCTGGAGCCCACAGCCCGCCTCCTGCTCCCGGCCCCAGAGGCCTGGCCAGCGGAGTGGGAAGTCTTCTCTCTCCACAGACGGCCACCGCCAGGACCAGGAGCTGGACGCTGACCAGAGGCAGCTCCCAGGACACCGAGTGCTGTGTGGCTCAGCGGGGACAGAGTCCCAATGGCAAGCAACCCCAGGGCGGGGGTGGGTGGAGTGACCCTTGACCTCTGCCCTGACCTCGGGAACGGAGGAGGGGGCCAGGGGTAGGCTGTCCTGAGCCTCCAGAAACTTGGACAGGCCCCAGCGACCGACAGATCCGTCCCCGTGCCAGGTCACCTGGCTTCCCCCCCCCGCGCTAACCAGGGGGCCCACTGCCCCCACCTCCGCCCCTTCCCCAGCGACGCTCAGTAGATGCTCCTGGGACTCCGGCTCCATAGGTCACAAGCTCTCCGGGACCTGCCCGCCCACAGCGGGGCCAGGGGCCCCGAGTCTGAAGGTCCCACGATGGGACTGCGGCGTCGCCCTGGGCCACAGACGTGGACCCGCAGGTGACACACTCGGGCGCACAGACCAGGCCCCGGGCGGGCGAGGAAGCCGGGACGCGCGCTGCCCACCGCCCCGAGTTCTCCGGCTGCTGGGCTGGCAGTCAGGGCCCCGTGCCTCCCGCGCACGCGGACAGGTGGACACACACCATTCGGGGCGGAGGGCCGGCCCGGCTCAGTCCCCGGCCGCCCCCCTCCCCGGCCCGGCCCGGGTCACAGTCCCCGGACCCCCGGCCCGGCCGGCGCGCAGACAGGTGCCGACCCGCCCGCACGGCCCCGCGCGGCCACTGACCCGAAGTCCTGGTCCATGGACTTGAAGAAGAATTTGTAGGCGTGCACCGGCCGGTTGCTGAGCACGTTCTTGAAGTCGGCCAGCGTGACGCGCTCGGGCGCCACGGGCAGCTTGACCAGGTACGGCGTCTCCTCCTCGTCCATGTGGTAGATGATCTTGGTCTCCGCCATGGCGCGGCGGCGGCCCGCTCCGCGGTCAGGCCCGGCCCGGGGATCCGACGCGGGCGCCTCCCCGCCGCCGGCCTGCGCCCCGCCCGCCCGCCGCTCCCGGCCTGGCCGCCCCGGCCCCGCCCGCCCCGCCGCCCCCGGCTCCGCGCGCGCCTCGCCTGCTGCCCAGCGGCCGGCGGCCGCCCATCCGCCCCGGCCCGGGACGCACTGGGAGCGCACCAGGCCCGGCCGCGTCCGTGCGCCCCGCCGCCCCCTCGGGCCGCGCAGTTCCAGGGACCGCCCGGCGGGGCTACGCGCGGCCCGCGGGGGGCGCCCGAGAGCGCGGCGGGGCTGACGTCACGGGCGCGCGCGGGAGGCGGGGCTGCGCACGCGCGGGAGGCGGGGCGCGCGCGGGAGGCGGGGCCGCGTGTGCGCGCCCGGCAGCCTCGGCCGCGCTCTCCCCGGCCCATCCCCGGCCCCCAGCCGGGCGCACGGGGCGCCCACGACACACTCTGGGCCCAAGCTGTCGCGCGTGGACAGACAGGGGTGCGCCCGGGGCAGGAGGTGGGTGGGGGCGCCCCACACGACGCGCCCCGAGCTGTCGGAAGGGACCCCCCCCCCCCCGGAGCGTCGTTGAACGGGACTCCGGCCCTCGGGAGAGCTCCCTGCTCTGTGGGGCTGAGGCCCGAGGCTGCGGGGCCTCCAAGGAGGCTGAGGACTGTCGCCGCTGGGACACCGGTAGCCTGGCGCCCCGCGCCGCCCGCTTCCAGCTCCGACATAGCTCCCCTGCCGGTGCCCACGGGACTGAGAAACACGAGCCAAGTGAATGTGGGGAGGACTCGGGCGTCCACGTGATGCCGGGGTGACAGCGGGGGGGCGGGGGTCACCACGCAGCTCTAGGGCGCATGTGTGCAGCGGCGCCCAGGCAGCAGGTGAAGGGTTCCCCCCCCCCCCCGCCCCCGGCCGCTGTCAGTCAAACCAGCGTGATGTCCTCCCTCGAGGGAGACCCTGAGCCGCTGCCCCGGGAGGAGGCACTGGAGGGAGCCCCACTGGCGAGAAGAACAAGAGAGGGGATGGGGGGCTGGAGCCTGGAAATCACTCATCTGCCGGGCCCTGACCCTCGGGCCCTGGGCCAGTGCAGGAGACCCCACCAGGCCACTGCTGACCGGAGGCGCCCAGGCTGGGGACCACGCCAGGTCAGCCTGGACCAGGGGCCCTGACCTCCAGTCCCCTTGGCTCCGGGAGGGGTACCCGCTCGGCAAAGCCGGGCCTTCTCCCCTCGGGTCTCGGTTTCCTCGGTGGAAACCTGAGGAGCCAGCAGGATGGCCTTGGAGGGAGGGCCCGTCACAACTCTCAGCTGGCGTCCAGGAAGGAGGGAGACAGGGCCTCCCCTGAGAGCTCGTGGGGTCCAGCTTCCTCTACACCAGACCCACAGATGGGGTGGCCTGATCCCCCGGCTGCACTCCAGCCCCCAAGGCTATGTCCCGCCTGACAGTCCAGGTCAGAAGAGAGCCGCTTCCAGCCCAGCCCAGCCCAGCCAATGCCACGGTGGTCAGGCTCAGGCCCTGCAGGGGTGAGTGCGTGGCCAGGGCCTAAGCCCTTCCAGGCGGGGCCTTGCTCAGTAGAAGTGGTGGCCACTGTGGGGCCAGGGGTCAGCGGACTGGGAGGGAGGCATGTTCTCAAACCACGGGTCCCGGCCAGCCTCCCTCCCTGCCTGGGCCACTGTGGGTCCCTGTGTGTGTGTGTGGGGGGGGGGGGGGCAGCTATTTGAGCCATCGCCTGGGCGTTTTACCACGTGACAACCCTGCTCACGCCAGAATCTGGTCTCCGGTGAGGACCAGAGGTTAGGACTCCCACCCAAGTTCCCACCTCGCTCTTCCTGGGCGCCTTTTAACACCACCACCGCCCGGCCAGTCTGGCTCAGTGGTGAGCGTCGACCTAAGAACCAGGAGGTCACGGTTTGATTCCCGGTCAGGGCACACGCCCGGGTTACGGGCTCGATTCCCAGTGTGGGATGTGCAGGAGGCAGCGGATTCATGATTCTCTCTCGTCATTGATGTTTCCCTCTCTTCCTCTCTGAAATCAATAAAAATATATTTAAGAATAAAATAACCAGCTCTGACTGGTGTGGCTCAGTGGATAGAGCGTCGGCCTGCGGACTGGGGGGTCCCAGGTTCGACTCCGGTCAAGGGCATGGACCTGGGCTGCGGGCATATCCCCAGTGGGGGGCGTGCAGGAGGCAGCTGATCCATGTTTCTCTCTCATCAATGTTTCTAACTCTCTATCCCTCTCTCTTCCTCTCTGTAAAAAATCAATAAAATATATTTTTTAAAAAATTTAAAACTAAAATAACCACTCAAAGCCTCTGAGAAATCAATGACCTCCAAGCAACCACCTTACAAGGAACAGGTGCTTCTACCTGCTCTGCCTCCTGCAGGCTGTGGCCTGGGGCGGAGGGCTGCCTCGCCCGCTGCCCCCGATTCTGGGACCTGCAAAGTAATACATCTTTCGACTTTACTTCCTTTGTGTGAGTTTATTGACACGGCGTCTTCATGCAAACAGCCCAGAGCTTTCCCTTCCCCGCCTGGGAGCTCGGACGTCCACCTGTGTGGGGGGCTGCTGCCTCCTCCTTCAGCAGGTCACACCCCAGCCGGACGTTTCCCACACAAGCAGGCTTCCGGCTCCCTGCTGTCCTGACCGGGCTTTGGAGGATGGGGTCAGGGCTGGGGAAACACAGGGCGCCTTCCTACCGCAGCCCCTCCCCCAGGGGTGTCACACCTGCACCTTCTGCAGGTACCCTGCTACCTCCACCTGTCACCCCCACCTGTCTCCTCACACCTCCAGTCCCACCTGCTTCCCAGAGGACTGAGCTACCACCACCCCTTCTGTCCTCACATCCGCCAGCACGCTCCCCTCCCCCCACCTTCATATAAACCCTCGGAGCCCGGCCAGCGTGGCTCAGTCATTGAGCATCGACCTATGACCCAGGAGGTCAGGGTTCATTTCCCAGTCAGGGCACAGGCCCGGGTCGCGGGCTCCATCCCCAGTGTGGGGCGTGCAGGAGGCAGCAGATCCATGATTCTCTCCCATCATTGATGTTTCTATATCTCCCTCTCTCCCTCTCCCTTCCTCTCTGAAATCAATAAAAAAAATATTTTTATAAAAACACACAAAACAGCCCTGGTCGGTTTGGCTCAGTGAATAGAGCCTCGGCCTGCGGACTGAAGGGTCCCAGGTTCGATTCTGGCCAAGGGCTCATGCCCGGGTTGCTGGCTTGATCACCAGTGGGGGGCGTGCAGGAGGCAGCCGATCAATGATTTTCTCTCATCGGTTTGATGTTTCTTATTTCCCTCTCCCTCTTTCTTCCTCTCTGGAATCAGTGAAGAAATATATTTAAAACACACACACACACACACACACTGTCCCAGCCGGGCGTAAGGGCTGAAAAATCCCGAGGTCCCTCTTCCCAGGACACCCCACCCAGACCTTCCACTCATGGGTGATGATGGGGGCTTCAGATGAAGGAAGGGATTTGGGGTTCCAAGGCCCAGGCTGCCCCTGGGAGGAGGAGGGGGCAGCAGAGGCCGTGTCTACAAGTCAGAAAGATCTTTATTGTGATGTGGCCATTCCCCAGGAGGAGCCGGCGGTGTGTCCTGAGTGGCTGCAGGGGCCACTCTAGCACCACCTTCATTCTCCTCCGTCCTCGGACAAAACAGAAGCCAAATGATGCCCCAGCCCCAGACTCCAGCCCAGGGAGGGGCCCAAAGTCACCCGGAGCCCAGGGACCGTCAAGGCAGCTTATTGCAAAGGAGGCTGGAGCGGGGTGGGGAGCGGGGATGGGGCCCAGGCAGCCCCGGCGGCTGGCGGCCGCAGCGAGGGGCATCAGTCCGGGCAGGGCGCGCTGTCCTCAGTCCCCGAGCCAGCGCGGGGCCGCCTGGAGCCAGAGGGCAGCTCCGCCCAGGAAGGCGTGAGGAAGGGGCAGTGCCAGCCTCAGGCTGACCCAGCTCCCAGGCTCCCGGCTGCGCCCCCTGCAGAGGCCTGGCGAGGCCGAGGGTGGACGTGGGTGGGCTCGGCGGGCCGGAGCGGGCTGGCCGGCAGTGAGCGCTGCAGGGGGCTGCTGGGGGGAGGGGGTGCAGCCGCAGAGCAGGCAGGGCCGGAGAAGCCCACGGTGGCTCGTGAGGGTGAGGCGGCTCCAGGGGAGGGCTCAGGACAGGACAGCGGGACCAGCCGCTGGAGCGGGACGGGAGCGGCAGGAGCGGCCGCTGAGCCAGGAGACGCGCTCCCGGACGGACAGCTGGCGGGGCGGGGCTGCGGCCAGCAGGAGCCCCACCTCACTTGCCGTACTCCTTCCTGAACTCTGCGAGACAAGGGCACGGGGTGGGCGGCCGCCCCAGCCTCCCTCCCTCCCTCCCTCCCGCGGGCGGCCCGGGTTCGGGGCAGAGGTCTCCCTCCGGGCCACACACCTTTGTCCAAGTCGATGTGCTTGGCGGGCGGGGGGCAGTGCGCCAGCGCGGCCCTCTCCTTCAGGATGTTGTTCTTGTAATCTGGGGGGGCGGGGAGAGAGCGGTGAGCCCTGGAGGTGCCTCCCCACCGCCGCACCCCCGGCGTGTGCGTGTGTGTGCGCGCGTGCACATGTGTGGGTAAGTGCGCGTGCCCGTGCCCGTGTGGCGGCGCCTCACCTAGCTGGATGTCCTCACTCCTGTAAAAAGCCTGCTCCCCTGTGGCCACAGGAAACTCCGCCAAGTTCACGTCCTTCCTGGGGGGGGGGGGGGGGAGCAGGAGGGGGGTGGAGGTTAGGACGGCGGGAGGCTCCGGCCGGGCCGGCCAACCCGGACAGCGGGCGGGGGGCACTCACCCCTTGGACTTCGCCGACTTCTGGTCCGAGTAGTCGTAACCTGGGGAGGGAGACTCGTGTCGGGGACAGTCTGCCCGCCCCCAGCTCCCCCAGCCCCGAACCCCCCACCCAGTACCCAGGCTCACGGGGCGCCCCTGGTCCTCCGCTCAGCCAGGCACCGCCGGCCCCCTCTGCCCCAGAGGCCCCCAGCCCCGCCGCCCCCGCGCTCACCCCCGCGCCGGCGCTGCCGCGTGGCCAGCACCACAGTGATGAGCAGCAGGAGGAAAAGCAGCAGCGTGGCCAGCACGTAGCCCAGCTGCTGGAAGAAGTGCGCGCGGCCCTCGGGCACGATCACGTTGATGACGCTGCGGTCGCGCGCCAGCGTGGGGTCTGCGAGAGCCGCGTGGGGCGGGTCAGGGGCGGGCTGACAGTCGGGGCGTCCTGACCCCAGCCGCCCGCGCTGCGCCCCGTGGCCCTGGGAAGGGACAGGCGGCCGCCGCCCATGGGGCCTCCCTCGCTGACCCCCGTCCCTCCCGTGGGGCGGGGATGGGCCGGGCGGGCTCCCACCAGCCGGACCTGGCCGTTCCCAGCCCTTAGACGTTCCCCGGGAGCCCGGGGCGGCCTCGGCACCTGGGGCGGGGGCGCTGCCGTGGCTGGAGCCGTTGCCCGGCGAGCCCCGCGGGGGCGGCGGGGCGGCGGGCGCGGTGACCGTCAGGTGGAAGATGCGGCGCTCGTGGAGGCCGCAGTAGTGGTGGTGCAGGTGGCAGGAGTAGGTGCCCTCGTCCGCCGGCTCCAGCGGGTCGATACGCAGCGAGAAGTCCCCGCGCGCGAAGGCGTCCGCCTCCACCGACACGCGGTCGCGCAGGACCGGCGGCCCGTAGGCGCGGCGCTCGCCCGACGCGTAGAGGTCGAGCAGGCGGTCGGCGCGGTCGTGCGGGACCCCGGGCAGCTGCAGGTCCCAGTGCGCCACCTGCTGCGCCTCCTCCAGGTGCCGGTCGGTCCACACGTGCGCGCGGTTCACGCAGGTCAGGAGCGCGGGCGCGCCGCGCGCCACCACCAGCACCTCCTTCTCGCCGTCCCAGTGCGCGCCGGCGGCCCGGGCTGTGGGCGCAGATCGCTCAGTGGGGGCGGGGGGAGAGTGGGGGGGGCGGGGAGACGGAGGGGGGGAGGGGCGTCCCGCGGGGCCAGCGCACTCACGGTTGTCGGTGACCTCCAGGCGGATGGCCAGGTTCTCGTAGAGGTGGCAGTAATGGTGGTGCAGGCTGCAGGTGTACAGCCCCTCGTCCGTCTCCTCCACCGCTGCGCACCGGGCGGAGAGCAGCCGTGAACTCCCGCCCGCGCCCCCCGCCGTGAATCCCCGGGGCGCCCCGCACCCCCCCCCCCGCCCGCGCCCCCCGCCGTGATCTCCCGCGGCTGGAGCGCGTACCGCGGATGAGCAGCGAGAAGTTGCCGTCGTGGAAGGCTGAAGGCGACAGCAGGAGGCGGCCGCGGTCGCGCGGCTCGTACACGCGCTGCTCGCCCGCCGAGTACATGTCCACGAGGCGGCGCGCGGGGCCGGCCGGGCCGCTCAGGTCCCAGTGGACCACGCGCTGCCGGTCGTGCAGCCGGTCCTGCGTCCACACCATGCGCGGGCTCTGGCAGCGCAGCACGGCCCGGGCGCCCGCCGCCCCGCTCACCGCCGCCTCCGACACCACCGAGCTGCCCGCTGCGGCGGCCCCCGACGGCCCTGGGAGAAGGGGGTCACTGAGGCCGGTGCGACGCAGGGGCAGGGACGGGGTGGGGCTGGCCTGGCGCGGGGACAGGAGGGGACCGTCGCGGGGCCCGGGCTGGCCACTCACCTGAGCACAGGACGGCGGCGCCTGGAGGCACAAGAAGAACCAGTCAGTGGGGAGGGGTGACCTGGGCCTTTACATCCCAGGCACAGCCCGGGGAGGGGCACTGGCCCTTGTCCCCCCCACCTTTCTTAATATATATTTTTTATTGATTTCAGAGAGGAAGGGAGAGAGAGAAACATCAATGATGAGAGAGAATCATGGATCAACTGCCTCCTCCTCGCCCCACACTGGGGACTGAGCCCACAACCTGGGCATGTGCCCTGACGAGGAATCGAACCCTGACCTCCTGGTTCATAGGTCGATGCTCAACCACTGAGCCCCGCTGGCCGGGCCCCTTGTCCCTTCTGTAGGCCCCACTGAGGTGGGTGCTAACACCCGGTTTATGGGTGGGGATAAAGCCGGAGAAGCCAGGAGGACACAGGTGAGGTCTCTTTAGCCCGCACGGCACAGGCACCTCTCCCACAGCCCCCCTTAATCTCCCACCCAATGCAGGGGCACCATGCCCTTCGGGGTGCGTGGTGGGTGGTGGATTCGACTTAGACCCCACTGGCTGGCCCTGGAATGCAGGCTTGTCAGCAAGGCCCCCCCCCCCCCCCAGGGGACGGAGGCTGCCAGCAAGGCCCCCGGAGCCTGGGCACCAGGGAGGCTGGCGTCTGGGGAGGCAGGCGTTGCACCTGCCGGGGCCGCGCACAGGACCTCACCTGGGAGCCACCCCCACCCCCAGAGCTCGGGGCTGGAGCCTCTGGTCCTGAAGGGCAGGGTCTGAAGCACCAAAAGGCTGGACGTGAGGAGCGACCCCACACCGGCCACCTCACAGCCAGGCTCCTGCTCCGCGCTGCGGCTGGGCGCCAGGACGGAGGAATGTGCCGGGTCAGCAGGCCAGCTCGGGCGGGCTTGGGGGGTGGGGGGGTGCAGGGAGCCAAGGAACAGACCCTGCAAGCCCCACAGTCCCCAGGCCCCACAGTCCCCCGCGGGCTCCCCTCCCGCCCACAGGGAGCATAGGCTGGGGGCCCCCTGCCTGAGGGACCCAGGCCGCTGCCTCAGCCCCCTCCCCCCCCACCCCCCCCACCCCCCAGCCCTCCTTGGCCTCTGTCTCCAGGTTCCGCGTGAGGAGGGCGTTTGAAGGCTCACACCCTCCCGGGTCCCGGGGCCTCATCATCCCTGAGGTCCCCCCTGACTGTCCCCTTCCCACCGGGCAGCCCCCGCACTGGGCTCGAGCTCAGGCAGGCGGCTTTGCCTAAAACCACACTCCCTGGGACGCACTGGTGGCTGGCGCCTCCTGAGCCCCACACCCCGCACTCACTCTGCAGAAGCAGAAGTTTCCAGAGTAAGACGCGGGCCCGCAGCTCCATGGTGCCGCCGCCAGCCTGGCTTTGTCTCCCTCCCTCCAGCTCTAACTCTCCAGAAAAACAGCCCGGCCCCCTCCCCCTCGGCACCGCCATGACATCACGGAGCTCTGGGCTGGTCGCGGGCTGCAGACCGCCCCCTCGCTCTGCCCAGCCCCCTGGCCTCCCCCACCCTGGCCGGCCCGTGGGGAGGGGGCCCTGTGGCCACTGTGCTCCAGACCCTGAGGGCGTCAGGCAGAGGGGGGCCCCTCTCTGGCCCGGGTCCTGGGGAGGGGTGGCAGCAGCCCAGCCCTTGGAGGACGGGAGGGCTGAGGGTGAGGTCCCGATGATGCCTGTGGGCGGCTGTGACATGTGGGGCCCTTCTGGGGTTGCTGCGGGCTGGGGTTCCGCAGTGAGCACCCCCTCACCCCACCTCTGCAGGGGGGACACTGCCCAGGGCATTCCCCCTTGTGGGCAGCCTGGCCCCTGCCCGGGGTGGAGGCATCCGGGCAGGGACCCCCAGGGATCCAGGCTGCCAAACCGCTGGCTCTTCCGTTAGCCTGTGATGACCCCACATTTCTTCATCTAGGAACCGGGGATCAGAACAGCCCAGCCCTGGGGCGGGGCCTGGGCACAGCATGAGGCCCTGGTGGTTTCCACGCATCTTCACCCTCCACAGGAGCCGTGGAGTAAGGGGGGACCCTGAGCACTGGGGGGGCCAGTGGGGAAGCAACGCCCACCTCTCTGGCCTGCCCCCCAACATCTGCCCACCATCCAGGGCAGAATCGGGGTCCCTGAACTCAAACCTGGGTTACACAGCTCCTAGGAGCACCCCCACCCGGAGGAGAGGGGAGGGAGAGGGCACGGGAGCCCCCCCCAGAAGGCACTAATTTGAAACTGGGAAAACCTACAGAGTCACATAAACAAACGGGAAATAACAGAGCAGCGCCGTGTCCCAAGCCCGCTCCTTCTAGTTAAGCAAACCTCAGAGGAGAGAACCAGCCGGAGCCACGGGGAGCCCACAGTGCATTCCTCCGCGGCCGTGCGGCTGGGGTCGGTCTCCAGCTGTCCCTGGTGGGCTGGGGTCTCGGCGTGAACCCTGCCCTGGTCCCCACGTCCTCAGACAAGTCAGGCGCCCGGCCCAGCTCCGGGCGGCGGAGGCCAGCGCCGCTGCAGAGGGGACGGGGTGACAGGAGGGAGCCCCCAACCCACACCCACAGACCTAACGGAGGTTCCTCAGCGGGTCCAGGCCCTGGGGGGCAGGGCCCGTTTTCCAAACTTGAATCGAACAGGCTCCCCTCACCCCCGGCTCCTCCCGGGGCCTTTCATTCTGGAAAAACAAGCCGGCCTCCACCCTGGGCCTCGAGGCCTGGCCTCCCTTGTTTTTCTAACTGGTTTATATTAGTGCTGGTGGCTGCCCCCCCCCCCTCCGCCTGCGCCCCCGTCTGTTTCTCCATCTCTGTCCTCCGTCCCGCCTCTTGGCCGCCCTCTCTCCTGCGTGGAGGGAAGACGCCCAAGCAGCTGGAGAGAGGCAGGATGGCCTGGGCCGGCCACTCGATAGAGGGGACCCGGTTACACCCTAAACTCCTGCAGAGCCTCCCCTCCCAGCAGGTCCCCGGCCCCGGGCCCTCTGTACTGAGGCTCCCTGGGGTCCTCCTGCTGCAGACCCAAATGCAGGAAGACGTCTGCGGGGGGCGCCCCTGAGTGCACCCTGACCCCCTCGCCACAGCGGGCAAATTGGACAGAAGCAGCCAGGGCTGCAACCCCTCCTCCTGCCCCATCCTGTTCTCTCCGCTGAGGCCAGCTGAGCCAAGAGGAGCAGCAAAGGGCTGCACGCCCCACCCCCACCCCGCCCGTCCTCCGTAGGAAATGGCACAGATGTGAGCAGAGCGCAGCAGGACCAGGCCACTGCCCCTCCCACAGCCGGCTGAGCCTCCACTCCTTCTCCAGCGCCCAGACTGCTGGCCAGGCCTCAGCTGACCGCTCCACCTGGGACGGAGCAGACCAGGGCAAGGACGCTGGCAGCATCCCCACAGTCCCGCGTGGAGCTCAGGCCGAGCCCCCCCAGCCCCGCACCCCCACCAGAGCCCTGCAGCCACCTCCCTTCCCTGGGGGGCGGGGCTGAGCAGGGGTGTCAGCGGCAGCCGGGGTGAGAACCAGACTCTGGCTCCCGCTCCCGGGACTGGGACATTCCAGGCAGCCTGGCTCATCGGGAGGAAAACCACAGGCGCTCAGAGAGGCACCAGACACTCTCCCACGTGGTCACACCTGCTGTGCGCTGAGCACCTACTGTGCGCCAAGCACCTACTGTGCGCCAGCAGGGGAGGCAGCGAGCGGAGGCCAGGCTCCCGCTGCTGGAGCCGTTAGGAAGGGCAGACCTGCCCGCTGGTCAATGCGATCATTCCATGGGCGGTGAGGAGTGCTGTCCGGGGGCAGCAGGGCCACCTCCCCGACGACTGGCCGCAGTGGCCTCTGAGGGGGCGACACCCACAGTAAAGGCCCAGGGAACCCCTCCCAGGGGAGGGAGGGGGAGCCGTGCTGTGGTCTGGCTTCCTCGCCAAGGCCACTCAGAGGGGAGCCGGGCCTGCAGGGACTGAGGGGCCGGGATGTGGGCTGTGATGCAGGAAATGCCAAGGTGGTCGGTGCGGCTTATGTGGGGCCTCAGGACTCAGGAACAGAAGGGAAACGCCGCCCAAGGGCCAGGCAGCGGGCAGCTCCCGCCGCAGCGTCCACCCCTCCCACGGCGCCCGCACCGTGAGCGTGGGCAGGAGTGGTGATTGCAGTGGGTAGCGCTTCGCACCCACATGGCCAAGTGCTAGGACCTCACCCTGTGGGGGGGCCACGAGGCAAAGCCCTGAGGCAGCCCCAGCCCCTGCCAACCAGAGCCTGGACCTCAGCCCGAGGAGAGCCCATCAGCCCGCCACCTGGACCAGCGGGAGACCTGCGCACGCCGGGAGGACGCAGCGGCAGAGGCCTCACCGCCGACCCCGTGACCCCGTGACCCTGCGAGGACCAGCTGGCAGGCGGGGCGCTGTGTGGTGCCGGGGTGCTGCGTGCCGCTGCTCAGTTCTGGGGATCCCCAGACGCAGCCACAAGACACACACAACTGCCTCCAAGCGAAGCCGGGGGGGACTGACTGGAGGGCAAGCGTCCCCGCTGCACGGAGGGACGATAGGAGCCCCGTCAGGACAGCCGCCCGGTGTGCTGGGGGCGGACGAGGGGCCAGGCGGGCAGTGTTTCCCTGGAAGCGCGTTGGTGCCGTCCACACGAGGGGAGGTGGAGGGCGGGGGGGGTGTCCACACGAGGGGAGGTGGAGGGCGGGGGGGGGGTGTCCACACGAGGGGAGGTGGAGGGCAGGAGGGGGGGTGTCCACACGAGGGGAGGTGGAGGGCGGGGGGGGGGTGTCCACACGAGGGGAGGTGGAGGGCGGGGGGGGGTGTCCACACGAGGGGAGGTGGAGGGCGGGGGGGGGGTGTCCACACGAGGGGAGGTGGAGGGCGGGGGGGGGGTGTCCACACGGAGGGGAGGTGGAGGGCGGGAGGGGGGGGTGTCCACACGAGGGGAGAGGTGGGAGGTTCGGGGGGGGGGTGTCCACACGAGGGGGTGGAGGGCGGGAAGGGGGGTGTCATGAGGGAGGTGGAGGCGGGAGGGGGGGGTGGTCCACACGAGGGGAGGTGGAGGGCGGGGGGGGTGTCCACACGAGGGGAGGTGTAGGGCTGGGGGGGTGTCCCACACGAGGGGAGGTTGAGGCGGGGGGTGGTGGTCCACACGAGGGGAGGTGGAGGGCGGGGGGGGTGGTCACACGAGGGGAGGTGGAGGCGGGGGGGGTGGTCCCACGAGGGGATGTGGAGCGCGGGAGGGGGTGTCCACACGAGGGGAGGTGGAGGGCGGTAGGGGGGGGTGTCCACACGAGGGGAGGTGGAGGGCGGGGGTGGTGTCCACACGAGGGGAGGTGGAGGGCGGGAGGGGGGTGTCCACACGAGGGGAGGTGGAGGGCGGAGGGGGGGTGTCCACACGAGGGGAGGTGGAGGGCGGGAGGGGGGGTGTCCACACGAGGGGAGGTGGAGGGCGGGGGGGGTGTCCACACGAGGGGAGGTGGAGGGCGGGGGGGGTGTCCACACGAGGGGAGGTGGAGGGCGGGGGGGGGGTGTCCACACGAGGGGAGGTGGAGGGCGGGGGGGGGGTGTCCACACGAGGGGAGTGGAGGGCGGGAGGGGGGTGTCCCACACGAGGGGAGGTGGAGGGCGGGGGGGGGGTGTCCACACGAGGGGAGGTGGAGGGCGGGGGGGGGGTGTCCACACGAGGGGAGGTGGAGGGCGGGGGGGGGGTGTCCACACGAGGGGAGGTGGAGGGCGGGGGGGGTGGTCCACACGAGGGGAGGTGGAGGGCGGGGGGGGGTGTCCACACGAGGGGAGGTGGAGGGCGGGGGGGGGTTGTCCACACGAGGGGAGGTGGAGGGCGGGAGGGGGGGGTGTCCACACGAGGGGAGGTGGAGGGGCGGGGGGGTGTCCACACGAGGGGAGGTGGAGGGCGGGAGGCGGGTGTCCACACGAGGGGAGGTGGAGGGCGGGGGGGGGGGTGTCCACACGAGGGAGGTGGAGGGCGGGGGGGGGTGTCCACACGAGGGGAGGTGGAGGGCGGGGGGGGGTGTCCACACGAGGGGAGGTGGAGGGCGGGGGGGGTGTCCACACGAGGGGAGGTGGAGGGCGGGAGGGGGTGTCCACACGAGGGGAGGTGGAGGGCGGGGGGGGTGTCCACACGAGGGGAGGTGGAGGGGCGGGCGGGGGTGTCCACACGAGGGGAGGTGGAGGGCGGGGGGGGGTGTCCCACATCGAGGGGAGGTGGAGGGCGGGGGGGGTGTCCACACGAGGGGAGGTGGAGGGCGGGGGGGGGTGTCCACACGAGGGGAGGTGGAGGGCGGGGGGGGGTGTCCACACGAGGGGAGGTGGAGGGCGGGGGGGGTGTGTCCACACGAGGGGAGGTGGAGGGCGGGGGGGGGTGTCCACACGACGGGAGGTGGAGGGCGGGGGGGGGGTGTCCACACGAGGGGAGGTGGAGGGCGGGGGGGGGTGTCCACACGAGGGGAGGTGGAGGGCGGGGGGGGGGTCCACACGAGGGGAGGTGGAGGGCGGGGGGGGGTGTCCACACGAGGGGAGGTGGAGGGCGGGGGGGGGTGTCCACACGAGGGAGGTGGAGGCGGGGGGGGTGTCCACACGAGGGAGGTGGAGGGCGGGGGGGTGTCCACACGAGGGGAGGTGGAGGGCGGGGGGGTGTCCCACGAGGGGAGGTGGAGGGCGGGGGGGGTGTCCACACGAGGGGAGGTGGAGGGCGGGGGGGGGTGTCCACACGAGGGAGGTGGAGGGCGGGGGGGGGTGTCCACACGAGGGGAGGTGGAGGGCGGGGGGGGGTGTCCACCGAGGGGAGGTGGAGGGCGGGGGGGGGGTGTCCACAACGAGGGAGGTGGAGGGCGGGGGGGGGTGTCCACACGAGGGGAGGTGGAGGGCGGGGGGGGGTGTCCACACGAGGGGGGAGGGGAGGCGGTGGGGGCTGGGGGGGGGGGGGGGTGTCCACACGAGGGGAGGGGGACGGGGGCGGGGGGGGGTGTCCACACGAGGGGAGGTGGACGGCGGGGGGGGCGGGGGGGGGTGTCACACGAGGGAGGTGGACTGGCGGGGGGGGGTGTCCCACGAGGGAGGTGGATGGGAGGGCGGGGGGTGTCCACACGAGGGGAGGGGAGGGGGGGGGGGGGTGTCCACACGAGGGAGGTGGAGGGCGGGGGGGGTGTCCACACGAGGGGAGGTGACTGGCGGGAGGGGTGTCCACACTGAGGGGAGGTGGAGGGCGGGAGGGGGGTGTCCACACGAGGGAGGTGGAGGGCGGAGGGGGGTGTCCACACGAGGGAGGTGGAGGGCGGGGGGGTGTCACACGAGGGAGGGGGAGGGCGGGGGGGGTGTCCACACGAGGGGAGGTGGAGGGCGGGGGGGGTGTCCACACGAGGGGAGGTGGAGGGCGGGGGGGGTGTCCACACGAGGGAGGTGGAGGGCGGGGGGGGTGTCCACACGAGGGGAGGTGGAGGGCGGGGGGGGTGTCCACACGAGGGGAGGTGGAGGGCGGGGGGCGGTGGGGGTGTCACGCTCACTCCTTCCTGCCGGCGCTGACGGTCTTCCCGGCGGCGGCCGCTCGGTCACTCGTACAGGTTTGTCCTGCTGGTTTGCAGGAGGCAGGGGCTCTGCTGGCCCAGGCCTGAGTCCCGGAGTGTCCCACAGGGGCAGGGGCTGGCCTGCTCCGGGGACCGGCTGTCCCAGCCGCTGGGGGACCATCATGCACATTGTGACCTGGAAACACAGGACACGGTCGCATCCAGGGACTGTCCCAGAGCCCAGGCCGCGGTCGGGTGCCGCCTGGTCTCCTGCTCTGGGGGGGGGGGGGGGGTGGGGGCAGGGCTGAGCCTACCACGGTCAGGCCTGCAGGCGCCGGGGCCTGGGGCGCAGGCTTGGCCTCTGTGCTCCAATCTGCCCATCAGGCCAGACGTGGTCCTTTGCTGTCCCTCCCCACCCGTCGGCTTCGACACCTGCTGGTACCAGACGGCACCTGCGGTGCCTCTGCCTGTGGGGAGATGTCCGCCCACATTCCGGGGCCGGGAGGAGAGCCGCCTCCAGACCAACGTCCGGTGCCCACACGGGACGTACATCCTGGCTTTCCTTTTTATAAAGAAGAATGTATTGATTTTAGAGAGGGAGGGAGGGAGGGAGGGAGACACTGAGAGCTGCATCGCCGGTTGATGCTTGAAGGTGCCCTCACCAGGGATGGAACGGACACCTTGGCGCCTACGAACCACGTGACCCACCTGTCGGGCTGTCCTGGTGGCTAAGCCGTGGCTCCCGACGCCAGACCTGGGGGGTTTGCCTTTTGATGTGCCGGCCAGCGTAGCCTTGGTGACGGATCTGCTTCATGCAAGTGTGGCCCCGACAGGAGAGGGTCAGCTCGCACAGGCCCCGCCTCGGCCATCATGTGAGCTCACGTTTGGCGCCTCGTAGACACGGTCATCACGTGTGCGACTGGGCCCGTGCACACAGGTAATCCTCGCCTCACCTGAGGAGGTGCAGAGGCGGGAGCACCCAGGTCTTGGTTTGTTTAGGGAAATGGCTTATTTAGGCCGCGGGGGAGGGGCCTGCAGAACCGGCTGAGTCAACAGGGAAGCCAGTCCTGACATAATGAGTGACAGCTGTCAAAGGGGCACAGGAGCCACCGGGCAGCTCAGGGCCGGGAGCCAGCGAAGCAGTGACCACGGGCGTCCAGGCCGACAGAAGTGACCGCGTGACTAGAGGGCCGTCCTCTGTGCGGGGAACCCTCCTAACGCCTGGGGGGACGCCAGTGCCCAGCGGCTCAGCACAGCAGGGCGCAGGGCCGGCCACCTTTGACCCTGCAGGTCAGGAACTCGTGCAGGGCTGACCGCACAGCGTGCCCGCTCCACGAGGGAAGGGCTGCAATGACTCAGCCGGGGCTGCTGGACCCAGGCAGCTTTGCCCAGCCAGCTGGGTCCTCTGCCCATGGGCCCTCCCCTCCCACACCACCTCTCATGGCTCCTCCCAGCCGGGGAGGCCGCCAGCCCGAAGGCCTGAGCCTGGCCGCATCGGACCACCACCACTGGGAGGGGCAGACCCAGCTGATGGAGCAGCAGCGAGGCCACAGGCCCAGGGGCTCAGGGGCAGTGAGGGGGGCTGTGCCCTCTTCACAGGTGACACCACGGGAGGCGAGAGAAGAGGAGCCGTGAAATGCAAACAGCTCAGAGCACCGTCTCAGGCTTATGTCCTTTGTAAAATGTACTAATTACTTTAAAATTTTTTATTGATTTCAGAGAGGAAGGGAGAGAAACATCGATGAGAGAATATCATGGATAGGCTGTCTCCTGCACGCCCCCTACTGGGGATCAAGCCTGAAACCCGGGCATGTGCCCTGACTGGGAATCGAACCCAGGACCCTTCAGTCCACAGGCTGACGTTCTATCCACTGAGCACACCGGCCAGGGCAGGCCACCTTGTCTTTCATAGCGTCATAACGGCTGGGAGAGACACATCGTAGTTTTCATTTCTCCGACTGATTTGAGAGAAAAACCTGGGTTTGTTTTTCCACTTGTTTATAATTCACTGGCTGGGTTTTGAGTGGGCCCTGCCCAGGGACCGAACTGCAACCTTGGTGCATCAGGCGATGTCCTAACCACAGAGCCCCCCACCCAGGTTACATCATTGTAGTAAATCAAAAGGATGAAACCAGCCTGAACTGTCCAAGGTCTCATGTTGATTAAAAGTATTATCTGAGCCCTGGTGGTTTGGCTCAGTGGATAGAGCGTCGGCCTGCAGACTGAAGGGTCCCAGGTTTGATTCCTGGACAGGGCACATGCCCGGGTTGTGGGCTTGAGCCCCAGTAGGGGGCGTGCAGGAGGCAATCGATCAATGATTCTCATCATTGATGTGTCTAGCTCTCTCCCCCTCTCTGAAATCAATAAAAAAATATTCTTTAAAAAATGTATCATCTGAGCTTTTCTTTCTTTTTTTATTTTTTTAAATATATTTTATTGATTTTTTACAGAGAGGAAGGGAGAGAGATAGAGAGTTAGAAACATCGATGAGAGAGAAACATCGATCAGCTGCCTCCTGCACATCTCCTACTGGGGATGTGCCCGCAACCCAGGTACATGCCCTTGACCGGAATCGAACCTGGGACCTTTCAGTCCGCAGGCCGACGCTCTATCCACTGAGCCAAACCGGTTCCGGCAAAGCTTTTCTAATGTAAATACGAACACCCACACTTCCCGGCCCGACTTAAACACCGCAGTCTCGCTGCGCGAGGTGGTCTCGCAATACTGGCACTCTGCATGGATTTACATCTCTCCTCAGCCAGCGGTCACCCCAGCTCTCCTTCCTTCCTTCCTTCTGTAGATTCTGCAAGAAAATAACTTTTTTTTTCTTTAATATATATATATATATATTTTTTAATATATTTTATTGATTTTTCACAGAGAGGAAAGGAGAGGGGCAGAGAGTTAGAAACATCGATGAGAGAGAAACATGGATCAGCTGCCTCCTGCACACCTCCCACTGGGGATGTGCCTGCAACCAAGGCACACGCCCTTGGCCGGAATCGAACCCGGGACCCTTCAGTCCGCAGGCCGACGCCCCATCCACTGAGCGGAACCGGTTTCGGCAAGAAAATAACTCTTAAAGGGTGGACACTCCTCAGGCATCAGGTCAGTGCTGCCCGGCCTGTGTGAGTCAGTGGCTGAGCGGCCCAGGCACAAGAGGTCACTGGCTGCAGGCTCGATCCCCAGCAGGGGGCGCTCAGGAGGCAGCCAATCGCTCATTGATGCTTCTATGGCTCTCCCTCTCCCTTCCTCTCTAAGATCAATAAAAACATTTTTAAAAAGTTCAACTTCCTTTCCTCTCTGAACTCTCACGCCCTCAGCTCACACCCACAGCAGCTCCGTCCACTGGACAGGCTCTAATCACACTCATCACGCGTGGTTTCCAGGGAGACAGGCTGGAGCCACACTCACAAGCTCAGGAAGCTTCCCAGCCACACAACTGGAGGATCGAATCCAACTGCCGGGGAGCATGGGCTGGCCTCTGGGCGCCCAGCAGGCGGCAGGGGTCACCCTCTGGCCCGCACCCAGGTCTGGACCTCTCGCCTCAGTCCTGCAGGACGCTCCCTCCGCTCCCCACCCTGGGTCCTTCCCTGGGGAGCCCAGAGCGGAGCAGGCTGGCCAGGAGCAGTCTCTCTTCCCAGCCTCATTCTCAGCTCAGTGTGGGGCCCGGCAGCGATGCCTGCTGTGTCTGCCCCTGAGCAGCTGAGCTGGGAAGAGCTCCCGGGCCCTCACCAGGCCCAGGGTCCTCCCACGGGGCCTAAGCCTGCCTGGCTCCTACCTTGGCCCACCATGTGGGTGGGAATGCCCAGGCCAGGGCATGGAGGAGCCCCCCGAGGCAGGGTCCCCACAAGTGCATCCCACCACCCTCAGCAGCTGTGCCTTGGGGACCTCCCCTGGCTGGAACCTTAGCCCCAGGCACCTGCCAGGGGAGACCGAGGCAAGGGGTGGGCCACAGCCAGGACCAGGCAGGCAGCCTGCAGGCCCCCACTACCGCCCCCCTGCACCCTCACTCAGAGGGTGCCTGGGGTCAGAACCGGGGAGACAACAGGGAGAAGGGGCTGCACTCCCCACAGCTGGGGTGCAGGATGGAGGCTGCACAGGGAAGAGGGAGGGGCAGCCTCCTTCTGCCTGGGAAGGGCTGTTGAGATAAAAATAAAACCCCAGTTTCTGCCTCCTGTGTTTGTGGCTGGGGCCCCACAGGCATCCAAGCCACAGGCAGCATGAGCCGCGCACACACCACCCAGGAGGGGCAGCAAGAGGGGCTGCCAGGCCAGGCCTGCGGGGGGAGGGGCTGGGCAGGCCCTGGAGCTGCACTGACAGATTGGTGACACTGGACCAGGGTGTGGACTGCGCTGCCACTGAAGCTTGGGGCTAATTTTCAGCCGGGGGGGGGGGGGGCTGCCCTGTGCACAGTACATTCAGCACAGCCTGGCCTCCACCCACTGTGCCTCCACTGTCACAACCGAGATGTGCCCAGATGCCCTGGAGGCCACGGGCAGCCTGCTCTGCTGGCCCCGCCCAGGATGGAGGAGGCTGGCCCAGGGGGCCCTGTGGTGCCCCCACCAGCCCCCAGGTGCACAGCTGGCCAGCCGCACCCCCAGAGCTCCCCGCCCGGCCCAGCTCCAGAGAGAGGCTTTGTCTCCGCTGCTCTGACCACTGAGCATGGTCCTCCTCCCGCCAGCCCGGGCAGCTGCCGTGGCTGAGGCCACACTTGGCACCAGGAAGGCAGGATCCATTCCTCCCCGGCGGCTTCACCACCCAGGCCCTGGCCCAGGGGCCTCACACCACCACCCACCACCACCCACCGTGGGGGAAGCCAAGACCCAGAGGATGTCGGTGACCCTAGCAGCAGGGTGCTGACTGCTGCCCCCTGGCGGCCACCAGCAGAAGCAGGCCTGTGCCCTCCGAGGCCCGAGGTCCCCCCAGGTCATGGCCACCGCACACTGGTGAGCGCAGGCCCTGAAGGCCCATGTCCCCTGATGGGTCCCGCGGCCAGCAGCCTGCATGCCCGCCCAGCTCACATGGGGTGGGGGCCCGCCCGGCTCCCTGAAGCAACGGGGTTACCGCACAGCCTGGTCTGGTCCGTCCCAGGAGAGCTGCTGGGAAACCGCACTCAAGCCTCCCCAAGACCTGCCTCCTCCCGGGAAGCTCAAACCCAGGCCCCGCACACATTTCAGGGGCCAGTGCCTGCCTGGCGGGGGTGGGGCAGCACAGGAAGGTGCAGGTCTCCTCTCCTTGGACTTGGTCCCCCGTCTGAGGGTGGGAACCAGCCTCCCCAAAACAGCCCAGCCCCCAAGCCCATGCAGAAGCCCAGGCTCCAGGCCCCCACTTTTGGGGATAACGCACTCCCCTCCCCACCCAGAAGGAACCCGAGTCACGGGGCCGCTGGCTCACAGGAGGGCTCCTCCAGCCCCAGCGACACCTGCTGGGGCACACCCTCCAGACACCCCACTCAGGCCCAGGAAGTGGCAGGGTGGCTCAGGAGGCCCCTCGAGACCCAGGTCCTCGGAGCCTGCGGAGCATCGCCCATCCTCTCTGGGGGCACCGGGGCCTCTCCTGACTCCCTCCCCGTCTCCCCAGGGAGGCCCTCCCCAAGCCCCCCTCTTACACCTCGGCCTGGGCACGTCTGCCATCTGTGTGACCAACGAGAGGCTGCCCGCCCAGGGGGACACAGTGCCCTGCGGGCAGAGCTGGGCCTCTGGTCACAGCGATTCCCCCGGCCTTCGTTCCTAAGCAGCGAGGCTGTCATTCCCACAGGCCTGGCACCGGGAAGGGGCCGCCCATCTGCCCCCAGGGGCCTTGGTGCCTCAGAGCCCGGCACCAGCCTCAACCCCAAGGCAGCTCACACCAGGCAGGAGGGGGTCCAGGCAGCAGGAGCAGCGGAGCTCCTCAATGTTTATTACAAGAGAACAGCAGCAGCGCCGGGGCAGGGGCGCCCCACTCACTTGCCCCTGAGGTAGATCTTGGGGGTCTGCCAGCCGGGAGGGGCTTCCTTCAGGCCCGCCTTCAGCCAGATGCGCTTCAGGTCTTTCTCGAACCTCACCTGCGAGGGCAGAGCAAGGGACCGCCGGCCCGTGTGTGGCCACGCACTCGGCCACCCTGCCCCCGCTCCAGGCCCCCGGGACCCACACGTACCTGCTTCCGTTTCAGGCGTCCTTCCCGGACCCTCCGCCGCAGAAACCGGGTCCTCTTGACCAGCTTGCGGTACTTGTGATGGTTCATCTTCCGCCGGCGGATCTTCAGCACGTTTTTGCACTGAATCTGGGGTGCATCCTGCACCTCCTCACGCCCCTGCTCAGCTCCTCCCCCGACCTGGCCAGGCGGACACTCGTAGGCCTGGGCCGGCGCCACAGTCCCTGGGACCCCAGCATCCAGTCTGGGCAGGAGGTAGTGGGCGGTCAGCCAGCTCTCCAGGGGACTGATGGACATCTTCCTGGGGACCAGCATCTCCTCGAGCTCCAGCTGGACCGCCTTGCCCGGGAGGACAGCAACCCTACTCGGGCCTGCTGGTTGCGTGCTGTAGCGGGGCCTGCAGGCATGGCTGCTCGGCACCCCTGAGAGGCGCCAGGGCCCACGGAGGCCTGCAGGAAACACGCCAGTCACCACCCATCGGTCTGCACTAGCCTGCGCTCAGCCGGCCGGACCTGCCAGGACTTGGGTGCAGAAGCGCCATCACAGCCTGGGAGCCCCTGCTGATGCTCTGGGGGAGAGGCGGGGGGAGGGAGAGGCGGGGCAGACTTCCCCTTTGTGATGCTGGGGTGTTTGCAGGGCAGTTGGCGTGGCCAGGCCCTGGCCTCCGGATGGTGAGGCGCATGCTCCTAACCCGTCTGCGTCCTGCCCGTCTGGCCCCTCGGGAGCGCTTACCTGGCCGGGGCGCGACCCGCAGCAGCTGAGACATCAGACGCGCCAGGAACATGGTCTGCGGGTGGCGGCCCAGGTGCTCAGCGGAGCTGGAACACAGGTGCGCGCTGAGGTCAAGGGGGCGCCGGCGGCGCGCGCAGCCCGGGGCTGGCGGGACTGGGGCTGCGGTCCTGCTCGCCCCGGCACCCCGCCACCTCCTCGCCCACAACCCCCGGGAGGACCCCGCTCCTTCCCGCAAGCGACCCGCCTCCCACCACGCGGCTCGGGGCCAGTCACCGACCCTCCCTGGGTCTCAGCTTCACCCCAGGCGCCGACCACGCGGGACGGAGCCGAAGGCAGGGAGCGGCGCACCACGGCCGCGGGTGGTCCCTGGCCCCGGGAG